TTGTCTCCAAGGTAACTGACAACAACAAAAAGTGTGAGGTGTTGGGGTGAGTGCATTACCTTAAGTGTACATATTTTTTGTCAGTTTGCTATTCTCATTTTCATAATTTTCAATCAAACTAAAGCTTATAATTTACAATTTTTTCAATTGATACATTTCATGCAGGTATTGCCTAATCTCATATCTGTTTTTATGACCTTTCTCTGTCCCCTTTTAAACATGATAATTTATGATATTTTTCTTGTAAATGTGATGCTGATTCTGCTACATAAATGTTTATAATAAATATATGTGATTTAGAGTCTTTGAGATATTTTTCATGTTATTGCCACCTAATTTATTTACTGTATATATTCATCTTCACCAGGAGATGCACCTTACAGAAGCAGTAAATACTGAATACCTTCATGGGAAAAATATTCGAAAGCAGTGACTTTACTGCAGTCAGAAGACATGACATCTAGCTCTTCCTGTAAGTCTGCTCCAATCACAACTACGATTAAATAAAAAAAAGCAGGCCAGTGTTTACTTCTCTTAGTAGGACTTGATTCAACAGTACATTTTGTTTTACCATTAGACCCTGCTTCTACATTAGAACACTATATCAGTGAGCCACTATCTGCCCTGGATGACAAAGTAAGACGGATCAAGTAGTTGAAAATACACAATCGATTTTGCTTTTCAGCTCTGTTTTAATCAATTGCATTTGTTAAAGCTTTTGATTTATTACTTGTTAACTTTAATAGATTTGTGTTTTTCTTTGGTAAGCGGAGAGCAGAGGGCTGTCCACAGTATGTCAGGGACCCTCCCACCTATTGTCTCAGAGCAGCAGGAGTTCTGAGGTATAACCGGGAGTCTGACAACAACAGGATAAACCTAACAACCATTCTTCCAGCGGTAAAAGAGATCAAGTTTCTACCTACTGTTGTGAACTCCAATCTACATGAATTTATGTTACTGATTATTTCAATATAACACTTGTTTGTCCAGTCCCAACCTGTGACAGAATACCCAGTAAGGTGTGAGTTCTGTGGAGGAAAGGCCCAACCTTCACTGGATCTAACATGGACTCAGGAACCTGAGGTAACAAACAAATTAACACAGGAAAATAAACCCCCAAATACACCTGATGAACCGTTTACCTCCTTGCATCCTCTTTCATTTTCATCTTAGTCAATGCCACTGTTCTGCTGTGCTCAGCGGCAGCAGCTGTGTAAGATGCTGGTAAAGCAGAGATGTTTGGTTGAAGGCAGATGTGACCTGAGGACTCCATCGTCACCAAGAGACAAGCCTGGAACAGTAAAGGGGGAGCTTCTCTTACAAGGCAAGGAGATGGAGGATAACAACAAGTTCATCATGGACTTACTGAGTGGACTGAGGTACAACTTTGCGTCTTAAAATGATTTTAAATCCATTACACAGCAACAGAAAAATAAAGTAAACTACTAATCTTTATACTGTAATGTTTATGCTTCATTAGAGAACAATCAGAATTAAGAATATACGATGATTACTCAATCCAACTACCGGGGGCAGAAACCTGTGAGTAACAGCTGAGTTTATGTAACGCATTGACAGCTTTTAATCTGTTCATGCAGTCATGATTGATAAGCACAAACACGCATTTCAAGAGCTCTCTTTGTGACTTTAAATGGCTTTGTGAGGCTGATACAGTTTGTCCTGTGCTATTGTTTAGTTCCCCCAACATCAAAGGTCCTTAGCTTCCGGCTCTCTCGTGCTCCAGGAGAAGGATGTTGGACAGTTTGTCCTTGTAGCGATGCTGAAAAGGAATTGAAAATAAAACAGGAAGAGGAGCAGGTGTTGATCCTTTTTTGTGACCACAAGCTACTTCAGTTTGGCATATGTCATTATCATCAGGTACCCACAATATGCTATTGTGTATTCTCTTATTAAAGTCAGTGCTAAGAATACCTAACCTTTATTGGAAAACTAACAAATAATCCTAATTTATTTGTATTGATTCAGGAGGACTTCATTCTGTATATTATCTTTACCCATATACACTGCCCCCCTGTTGTCACCCTGTATCTGATCAATACATAAAACTACACAATAGCAGTTTTAAAGCTGTATTTTTCTTTTAACATTTATTTATTGTAAATAAGGTTAAATATTTCTGGGTATAAACATTTATGGCTTTTGATAGGGTTACTTTAGCAATCTAATCTTGTGCTTTCATAAAGTAGGCAAGACACTGACACTGAAATTATAGAAGCAGATACTGAAATGTCTTCCTGATTTGTAGTCCCTAGTATAGCTCAGGTCCCAAAGATACTTGATTATAACTTCCCAAAAAGCAGTAGCTTTTTTAGTTGGACTCTCAGTTGCCTAATTTTATAATGTAGCCTTTTTGTTGTAAATGTTGGTTAACATTAAAGTCTTTGATTTGTTTATTTGTCCATGTTCACAGGACAGGGCAGAACCTCTTCAGAAGAATTACTCCAATGGCAGGACCTTTCTTACTGTGTTCCCTGATGGCTCTGCTCAGGCCTTGTATCCACTCACAATGCATAGATTTTTATAATGTGACCAGATTTCCAGTGGGTCTTGCAAGAAGCCCAAGAGAGTGTGCATGCAATACTACATACAGTGGGTGTTCCCATCCTTATCGTCATGTTAACAGCTATCCCTCAGGCCTCTTGGCTCTGGTTGTCGTGGTCACTGCAGAAAATGGGAGAGTCTGCATTGTGTACGATGACAGCGATGCCTCCAGTCCATCGATGAGAGCCATGTTCCAGTCTGACGGCAGGGCGACATGTTATCACAGCAATGGGAACATATGGTACAAAGAAAAGTATATGTATATATTATTGAATTAAAATGTTTAGAATTAATATATATTTCAAAGCAATACTTGCCTTAAATGATATTTGTATATCCATTACTTATCACGTGTTACCTCCAAGATAAAAATGTTTGCAAGCCGCTTTTGTGAACAAGCAATTCCAATCCGGAAAATAGGTTTAGCAAGCATACGACTGAATAAATAGGATTAGGATTATATTTCACGTTGTGTGAGAGTTTTTTATCAGAAGTTAATAGTTTTGCTGTTGTGAGTGTGGCCTTCATTCATCAAGAATATTCAGTTTTACAAATCATCTTTGCAACAATTGTTCTTCTTCCAGAATTGTGGTTACCAAGAAGTGAGTAGTTTAAATTAAAAAATATGTTGGGGTGAAATATTAATTCAATATTAAGGTGAATAAAAGTTGGCGGTGGCAAGATGAAAAACCATGAATTGGGAAACATGGCAAAAACTCTTGAAAGACTCGCTGCCAGAGGCCTTATCATAATCTTAACCATAGCAGGTCAGTCAATGCTTTAACGCAAGAGTTATACCCTATGCATCAGACTGTATAACATCCTGTTCTATACAAATGGGTGCATGACATGGATGGTTTAGAAAAGCTTATAATACTAATTGCATGTGTGTGTGTTGTTGCAGGCTGACTTTAAACAGTGCCGGCGGTCAGTGTTTGGATGAAGCTGGTGCCAGGGTTCATCGGTGGAGCTGGAACAGTCCGAGCCTCATCCCCACTCCCCTGCATCCCGTCTTCCTGTCCCTCAACAAAACGATTGGGGTCCGAATCCTCGGGAAGGAACAGGTGTTTGTTACCTTCCTGGCAAAAGGCCAACAGGCAAGGTTCAGAGTTGGTGCCTGCTGCGCTCAGGTGAAGCCATGTTTTTCTAACAAATGTTTTTTCTGCCTATTCATCTTGCAGTTGCTTGCATCGCCAATTCTGCTTCAATATTGTTTTCCCTCCAGTGTGATTGTGCAACAGGCAGCGATGCTTCAGGGCCGTCAATATCAAAGGAGGAGCTGTATGTGTTTGGCAGCCAAGGTTAGGATTCATCAGGCTTTCCAGAATCTCCACCAGTACCTGACGACGCCTTCACATCCCCATCTGCTGAAAACCACATAAGCCCCTCACCTCATGTTATTGCCCAGAGGCTTCTCGAAGTCAGTACTGATGTGATGAGTGAGACAGCCTTTATCCAAGGATGTCAAGATTGTCTGCCAGTAATAAAGTAATCTGTGACACAATGATCGCAGCTTTGCCATTGATAAAAAGTAAGGCACATCCAAAAGGCCAACAATTGTTATCTTATAAAAAAGCCCTCAAATTACCATTTCACACCCCCACCCCCTTCTTCCTCTTGTAACATGCTATACAAATGTAATGTATTATTATATAATCAAGGTCATACAACAGAAAGCATTCAAAAACCTTGTTTTGCATTCATGTGGGTAGAAGTCCCATATAGGAGGGTCTAAATAATATTAAACATGTCATCTTCTTGCAAAAAAGCACTGGTGTCTTTTATACAACCTAATGGCTCCTATGGGATTTCAAAAGTTAGGAGAGCATTTCCACCACATTTGCTCAAACAGGACTTTTCTTTCTCAATAATGGTATTTGAGACCACACAACAGAATCTGAAAAAAACAAAACAAATGACCTCTAAATAACATTAGTAAAGCATTCTCACACTAGACTTTTACAATGGTCATACCCTTTCAAATTATCTGACCCATAACCCATTATAAGGCTTTTTTAAACACCTGTAACAGCAAAAAGGCCCTCATGGGATCAACTTAATTACATAATGGGATGTTGCCCTAGTTTGGATTATCCAAAAATCAACAAGCGTTGCCACTGACGTCACTGTTTTAGTCTTGTATTGTCAAGGCTAATCTGCTGTGTGTTCTAATCACATAAGCTTGGATCCTCAGGTCTTCCTAATAACATTAGAGTGGAGCAGATGGCTTTAAAGTGCACTCATGGCTGTAAGCAAGCAGGCCATCAAGACAAAAAGAGCAGTATCTCTCAGGCATTCATTTAGATTAACTACATTTTCTCTCAGATAACTTAACACCTTGAGGGCAGACACATCACCCAACATCTCTTCTAAAGGTAATAGGTTTTATCATTCATAACACAGACCAGCACATCAGTAAACCACAACACCAGAGCCTCACAGTTAAATAGTTACAATATGTTTAATTTTCTTTCAGCTTCCTTCAAGTTATGCAAATATAAAAATTATTCAGAAATCATACCAAGACAACAATTTCCCAATGTTATTTCCACAACAATGATGACAGTGTTGCATGTTCTACATGGTTAAGCTAGGTTTAGAACAAGTAACTTAAAAACTCTACATGTGGCTCAGTGGTACAAAGAACACGTTTTAAATCACATGGATCAGTTGTATGCAATAGGTTAAAGACTATAATAATCAATGTTAAATCTCTCCTTATGGGACCACTGAGGTCACCTGGATGAAATCTGCAGTAGTTTGAATAGATCAAGAAGATGACAAAAACAAAACAAAATTGGCCGGCACTGTTGCCATGGATCCCACTCTGGCGTCAGGGGCGGGATATCTCCAATGGGCATGGTGAAGGTTGATGGGGGCATCCAGTCTGTGCTAGCAGTTTTCCTGCCTTCAGCGCAGACCTTCATAAACATCACTTCACAGCCCAGAGAGGATCCCACCTCAAACCTACACAGGAAGACAGAGGAAGCAGATCAAAGTCAAACAAATGGCCAATATAACTCACAACAAGAAAATCAGATAACATTAGGGATGGGTATCGTTAAAGTTTTAACGGTACTACTACTTTTATCGATACCGCTTATCGGTCCGGTCTTTTAACGGTACTTTTATCGGTTCTTTTGGAGAAAAAAACAAGGTAAACTAACTAAACAAATTGTGAACAAAACTAACATTGCTTTTTATTTAAATTAAATAAATAATATTTCACATCAAAAGAAACAACAATGTTTTAACAAATCGTATTAAATAATCTGATGACAGAATTGTAAACAGAATAGCTGAAACTTTAACAAAATAAATAACTCAGTTCCCTCTAATCATTAACCCATGTTTGTATAATTGAGTTAACCGTGTGTTGCTGCTAGCATACATAACACCTGACGTGGAAAAGTTACTCGTGGATGGGGCTACAGAGCTACTAGAAAGACAGTCGAACCCGGTGCATTTCTCCGTCTGAACGTGGTGCACTTTTGCTAAATGTTTCGACAAATTGCTCGTGTTACCGCCCTGACATGCTAAACTCTTATGGCACTTTTGGTAACGAGCATTGTCCACATTGAGACGGGTAAAGTTTAACCACACCTCAGAGCTCGTTCTCTCCGCCATCTCCTCCGTGTGTGTGTGTGTGTGTGTGTGTGTGTGTGTTGCTGTGTGTTGCTGCATGTGTGTAAACTGCCCTGCCCCCTCGCAAGCAGGCGGGCGAGAGATCTCTCGCCTGGATTGGAAAGATCGAAAATACTAAAAAGTAATCATAGACGCATTTTGCAGACTTTTTGCATATTAGAAACGGAGTTGGCGACACTAAAACTGCAATATAATGCTTGTGTAGCAATAATGCATATGACATTTTTTACATGTCTCCAGTACCGATAAAAAGACCGATAACGTCGGAGCTTAACGGTACCACGGTCTTTAATAATTCAGCCCCGGGGCCCGTTTAATACCGGGGCTCGGTACCCATCCCTAGATAACAAGCAAAGGCTGTAAAATAAGCAGAACAGTGAGATGAACACCACTGTACTTACATGGAGGGGCTTTTAGCTCTAGCCAGGATTAGACGAGTAGGGTTAGGAGTGGAGGTGTGTTCCTGTGTTCATGTGAACGTTCATCTTCATCTCGTTGTCCAGGATTTGCACAAGCTGCTGCATGGAGGGCAGGTGACCGGACTCTAGTTTGGACCACACTGGTACATCTGTGGAAACACAACACGTCACTGTAATTGACTGCATTTCGTTCAATTACCATAGAACTTCATTGTAATCATTTGAAAGACTTTAGTGAATAAGCCCATGCTCTGACTCACCATTTAATGTGATTTCAAAAGCTCCTGTAGACATTAACTGGTTTTCAATCATATTGCTGAAGAAGAACACCATCATGCATGCATATATCTGAAAGAAGAATGAGAGAAACTTGAGTTTAACATTTCTGCAAAGAAATAAAATAGATGTTCCAACATGTTTGTGCACTGTATGCAGTACAAGAGCAGTGCACTGAAAATAAACAGTTTCCAAGTTTAGGCTTGGATGAAAACAAACAACAATGTATTTATTAGCAACACAAATCCATGCCAAATGCTTGCTAAATACATGTTTAAATTGCTGGTAAAACACAAGAATAGCCACAAGAGTTTTATTTGCAAATATCTGATGTGAGCAGTCATTCTTCCTCTGAGCCTTTGGCATGTGTGTAACCCTGGGGATAACAGACCAGGCAAAACAATACTTAACAACACAGCCTGAAGACCCCGAGTGAGCTAATGAAATCCCATGGGTTTGAGTTACACCTGGCAGTGTGTGTTTGTACACAACTGTATTATGGCGCATTTCCACTACAGCCCGGTTTAAGCGTGCCGTGCCGTGCACAGCCCATTTTTGGTTACGTTTCCACTAGGCGTATTACCGGCTAGCGGGTACTATTTCAGTTTTTCTGGCCCCATAAAATCGAGGTTCTTAGCGGGCCAACAACCAGGCTGAGTTGGGCTGAGTATGCTAAACTAGAGAGAGAATCGCTGGCAAGGGGGCTACAACTACAACAAAATGAACATATTTGACCGTGATTTAATTGTAATACACGTTTCAAAATGATGCCGAAGTAACAACATACTGATACCGGTTAGTAAAAACCATGAATTAATGCTTTGACAAGTCTGCAGACAGACGGCAGGCGAAAAACCTTTTAAAATGCGCGTTGTCTGAATGGAGATCGGCTAAGCTAACGCAGTATATGCTCCGACCGTCCACACTCACAACAACGGCCTATACAGACACAAATAAACCAGCGACTGTACTCGCCATGACACAGGCAGTCTGTGGTTTGTACTTGTTTAACTTTTGTCTAGTTTCTGAACAGATATGAGGAGCTGTGAGCTTGAGTGCTAACAGCTAACGGCTGATGTTGTTTTTCTGTGGTTCTCATTGAAGATGACGTCACGGCTCCGCCTACACTGCGTTACTATAGTTACTGCCCCAGCTACTAAACTGTAATGGAAACGCAGCATAAAGTGAGCCAGTCCTAACAAGGCCTAACTATACCGTACTAAGCCGAGCGAGGCCCTGCAATGGGAATGCGCCATTTGAAACAGAGGCAAACTAAAGCTCACTTTACTCCATTTCAATATTCATTCTATGATTGAGTGTGACATCTATCGTGTTAAACAGTAACATTGCTCAGCTGCATCAGACACAGAATCCTGACCCTCTCTCTCAGTCATTGTTACACATGAAAATTAAAGCATAAACCACCACACGTTCTGATAAGTGACTCAGATAGTTCTCTACCTTGTTTCCCTGGCCCCACTCCCAGATGCCAGGTGCCTGCATACCGATGAGGGCGAATGGGTCCCTGCCGATAATGATCAGCCCAATCACCAGCAGTTTGAACACAGACAGGAAGGAAGCAAAATGTCTGGGGGGAAAAAAACAAGAAACTGGCTTTTAATACAATTCCATATCAACATTAATACGCTTTATAGGTAGGAAAATTATCAGTTTGGTGTCATAATGTTGGTTTTTAAATATTAAATAAACACATTATTCTCAGTTTTTAAAGAAAGCATATTTGTTTGAAATGTAATGGAAAAAAGTATATTTAATATTGTCCACAAAATATGGAGAATGACAATAGTATACCTAACAAATTATCTTAACACAATTATTCCTAAACAACACTGTACCAAGAGTAGGACGTGACTTTTTAAAAATAATAGAAATGGGGCTTCTTTGTGTAGAATAAACACAAGATTGAGAAAACATTGTGGCAATGGCTTCATCCCATACACATGATCATTTTTGGGATTCTGAAATGTATAACTTAAAATAACAAACTTGATATGGTTTAACACTATCAAACGTATCAACAACAACCTACAACACAGAGCCTGCATCCTTTTTTACTACTTTTAAACTTTAACATGTGTAACTGGTTGAGCTACAAACAGTACACAGGATTATCCGTCTAATGGCAGAACAAGTTAGACATGGCCAAAACTAAAATAATAAACTGGGGAATAGAAACTCAGGGTGTGATACTGTTTCCTTTCTTTAATAGATCCCTAGTGTTTAGACTTCAACTGATGAGGACCCGAGGGTGCATTGACACCAACCACATATTTAACTGCAACATTTGGGACACAAATCAGTCTCACAGAGCAAATTATCCAACTACAGCCATTGATGTTTCACAAGTTCACTTACTTGTAGTTCTTAGGGATGGTAGTTATGTCTAAGTTTAAATACTACATGGCAAGATAAGCATGACTGTAAAATAATTCACATCCTCAGCTGAATAACAGCTAATCCCAGGCAGCCTTTAGACTGCTCATAGAAATCCGGACATAATCCACTTGTAACAAAGCAGACAATCTCTGACTTACTTGTAGAGGGGGATAGGAAGATAATTCTCCCCTTCAATACGGATGTCTGGGTACCGCTGGTACAAGGCCTGCATGTACTCCTCAAACACCCGCTTGTACCCTCAGGAAATGCTGTGAAAAGACAATCAGTGTTAGACAGATGTACAAAGTCTCAAAGAGGCACATAGGCAGTCATAACACAACAATGATCTCAAGGCTAAATTCACCATTTAACCTTGAGATATGGCACATGTGCCTCCTAGTATTATCTTTAAGATATTTGCTTTTTATTATTGTAAAGTGGTAGTGTGAAATTCCAGTTAGCAGCACGTGAACCACGTTTTATTTAACGTTACTTTGCACCTCATTGCTAAATGCCTCTGTTTGTGGCATATTTGTTTAAGCAAAGCAAACATTAAAATACAAATAGTTGTTTCTTGTTTACTTCAGTAACAACCCTTGCGCATTAGCATGTTAAAACCATGTGACATCTCGATTACCATATCTCTTTGACGGTAACGACAAGCACGCTTTATCGTAAATCCTTTACTCGTGTTAGCTAGTTAACGTCAGATAGGCTAGCGTTAACTAAACATCACGGTGTTAGTAAATGTATGATTGCAATACATCATTCCTGAAAGAAAGATCAACTCAGAGATTTAAATGAATCATTATTGACCGTACAATTCAAACAGGTCAACCTAGCGTTACCGTCGACTAAAGATGTAACGTTAGCTCGCAGGTTTGACAGCGGAAGCGGTGCTATGTTTTCGGTGAATGTTCAGAAGTGACACAAACCGAAACTACAAAAAAATGTACATGCATTTAGGGCATTGTTCAAGTAATGTCTAAATAAGTTATATGAACGCTTCTTATCCTCTAACATGTTTACATTAACTACTCTGCTGTTAGTTAGCTATTTAGCTTCAATCGATTTCCGGCCTATATTCGGCTATGTTGTTAGCTTTGGAGTTTAGCTAGTTAGCTTGCAATGACTCGCCACATTTTTCGCTTATTTGCTTACCAAATTTGAAACTTGAGAAGAGGTCCATTTGCAAACTGCATCTTCATTTTCTTCACTCCACTGTTGTCGCCAGACGAGGCGCACAACAGCGAGGAAAGCCCTACAACGAGGAGCGAAAACTGCAACCACTTCATCGCTAACCGTGCCAGGGTTTGGTTCCTCCGCCTGTCCGTCGGTGTGAAGCCGAGGAGGCAGCAGGTTAATCTGAGCGTCACTGCCCGGCCCCTCCTCCTCTCTTCCCCCTTTAGCACCACCTACTGTTATGGCTGTTCAACTCACATAAGAATGGGCCATGGAATAAACATATACTTCAGCAGAGGTGGGAGAAGTTGTCAGATCTTGTACTGAGTAAAAGTATAACTACCAGAGTGCAGTACTCTGTTGCAAGTAAAATGTGTCCTGCATTCAAAGTCTTACTAAAGTTAAAGTGAAAAAGTATATGCATGGAAATATACTTAAAGGGGACCTATCATGCAAAATGCACTTTTGTACGTCTTTTATACATGAATATGTGTCCCCGGTGTTCCAGGGAACTCACCAAGTGTCAGAAAACACAACCCTCTCTATTTGCTCCATACCCAAATCTCTAAAAAAAGGGGCTGCAACGGATCTGATAAAAACTGATCCAGATTTGAACACTGTCCTGACGTCAGGACAGTGGCGCTACGGCTATTGGGCCAACTCAGGAGACAGCCACGGCCATTGCCGTTCGAAAGCGCTGGAGACGCTGTAGTACATATGCCAGGCCAGTAGATGGTGCTGTTCTCACTGAATCTGCCCTTGCAGAGCAGAGCTAAAAAAAAGTGCAAATTGAGCGAAATGAGGCATGGCTAAAATGCATGATCTGTTTGGTATTTTGAAAAGAAAAAAGTATAAATATGCCTTATATAGGTATGGTCCTACACTATATTATTCAAATATAGCATGATAGGTCCACTTTAAATTACCAAAAGTAAAAGGACTTGTGCAAATTGGTCCATTTGAGTAAATGTTCTGAAGTTACTTCCCACATCTGTTTTTTTAGTCAGTGTTGTAAAGTACATTTACTCAAGTACTTACAGTACTTTACTTGAGTATTTACATTTTTTGCTGCTTTTTACTTCTACCCCACTACAAATCAGAGGTACAGTACATCTACCCCCACTACATTTATTGAGTTTGCAGATTTGGAATAATGAGGCACTTTAAGACTTTAGCTACACCTTGATTAACATTCACAAGCTACCCTGCAGTTAAAAAGTAATTAGAATTAGCCGCACCTTTACATGCTTTGATACACACTTGAATCCATCAATAACTATAATCATAACATATTAAATATAAGCCAATCTGCATGAGTACTTTCACTTTTTGTACTTTAAGTATATATTGATGCTAATACTTTTACTTATGTAACATTTCAAATGAAGGATCATTCCTACACTGGTAGTTTTACTTACACTTAAGTGCAAGACCTGAGTACTTCTTCCACCACTAATTTGAGGGATCAGTTTTATTCTCTGTGCTGCTTTTCAATCACAATATGTGTATCATGTTGTTAGAGATTGTTGATTGTTTTGTGTTAGCCAGTGTACACTGAAGTTATTTGAGCAAACATACGGATTAAGAAGGGTTTTATTTAATTTTCCTGCAAGCATATTAGAGCTAGAGTTGTTAAAAATCTTTATGCAATATTGAGACATTTTTAATCACACCCCCCCCCCCCCCCAAAACCAACATTGAACATTCAACACTAATATACTAGTGACCACTGAAAGTATAAGAAAGACATGGAAACATCCACAGCAAAAAACAATGCATCCAATAATATACACACAAGTAGTTCCCCAAGTGATTTCTTACAAAAATAATCACTTTCAATGAATTAGTATTAACACGTTAAAATCAGCTGCTTCAACAACAGACATTTCCATAATAAACAGACTTTGTGAGTGGGTCCATGGGTTTTCTTATAAGCTTTGCCTTGCCATTCTCTCCTCGTTGACAGCAGTTTGCAAAGCCTCTACCATTCCTGTGGATGACAGATAAGACATAATGAATAAAGGTCAAGCACATTGTCTACACAGATTTTGGTCCTTCATGGCATTAGGTCTAAACTGAGCTGATCCCAGAAAAATGGGAAATGGATTCTTGACTACTTTTTTCACAATGCTGCATCATATTTAACAGCAATCCAAGAAGGTTAATGTTGATTTTGTTTCATAACATATATTGCTCATTGGAAAGAAAAGATCAAGATGTAGTGTGTACAAACCCATGAATGTCTTGGCATAGTCCACCAAGTCCGGAAGTCCTTCCTCGATATTGTATGATCCTTTCCCCATTGCATTGTATAATTCCTTGGCTTTCTGAGAAACAAAAGTGATACAAGTGTGAGTAAAATGCATTGCCACTTGTCTTGTATGCTGTAAAAAAAAAAAGGGCGAGCTTGAGGACACTTTACCTGGACCTGTGCATACACCGTCTCCTCCAGCTCTGCCACACGGGAAATGGAATCATACACACTGGTATCCACAACAGATTCCTACAAAAGGCACACAAAAGCAAACAGAAACACATTTAAGCAAATGATACAAAAGGATACAATCAATGTTAAAAATGTAGGTTTATGTAGTGCAAGCTGACCTCCTCTGTGGAGCTTTCTAACGGCTCTTGTGCCTGAACTGCACAGATGGCCTTGGAATTGCCTTTCAGTTCCTTCACTCTGCAAAAGTTTAGAACATGTTTCAAGTTTTCTGTTCATAAAACATTTGTTTCCTTTAAAAAAAATTAAAACTTATATTTTGAATCAAGTTAAACTAAATGTGTACCTGTCAGCATAACGTAGAGTGTTCATTGTGTATTCACAGGAAGCCAGGCCTGGAGACACCATAGCAATCTGTGGATGGAGAGAAGATTACATCTAGGAACTTTCTGTACTTACACTCCCACATATTCAAATTCATACAAGTTTGGGGTTTAACGTACCATGCAGGTCCTGGACTTCTCTCCAATAAAGGAATCCCTGAGCACTTTTGTCAATGTGCTCATCCGGAAAGGAATGTGGTCGCTGTTCATTCCCAGTGAACGGATACACTCCTACAAGACACAAGAATGACACAGGCATATTGGGTGTGTTTTTTTTTTTTTTCCTAAATTCCTTTTAGGTGCTGTGCTTGCGCATATAAATATTCTGGCAGAGTTCTGGGAATGTCAGATACGTTTTGCATTTGGAGCATTGAACTCAGCTTTGTGTAATTTGAAAGTACCAGTTACTTCTTATGTTCCCAAACTGAGTTGTAAGAGAGAAAATGGGGCTCATCTCACTTTTCATCCACAGCCCCTTATCTTGCGTGCACCACTCCACAGCAATCAAAGCGTACCTTGAGAGCCAGCAGGCTGCGGTTGATCTCGGCCGTCTCCACCAAAGTGATCCGGTCATTGCTGCTGACGTCAGTGCCGCGCTCATTGCCAGCCAAATCAACAAGAGAAAATTTGCCGTGCATCGTAGTCGCACGGTCGTTGCGCCGTAGGACAATCTGAAGGATGGCATGGGAGCGGGAGGAGTTGGCGTTGGCCGAGGTCTGGCCTGATGTTCTGGAGAAACAGTAGACAAAAGGAAAGTTGTTAATGTTATATATTTTTTTTAGCTGAATGACACAAATGTCAGAACTTAAGTGTACGTTTTTAAATAAACAAGAAGTTAACAGAGGAATTAAACATTATTTCATGGAACTATGTAGCATTAGTTTGAAACATTCTTAAAACAAAAGTACCTGCATGAACTTCCCATCTGGATAATCTTGATGACCTCTTCTGATGTGGTCACATAGACCTCCTCCAGGCCTACCACCTGGACCTGCTGTCGTTCATCCTCCAGGACACGGAGCTTGGTCTTCTTATTGAGTAGGTCATACACCTAATTCAGAAAGGATATTTTGCTTTTAGCATAACTTGAATAAGCTGGGGTTTTTCCGTTTAATGTCAAATGCTATTCAAATAAATGTGTTCATATAGGTAGGTTTTTTTCTTACTTTTCCATTGTAAATCTCGAAGAAGCTGACATAAACAGAGAGATCCAGGTTGGCATACCTTCTGTGGTTCATATAGGCGAAAACATCCTGGGCTAGAAGGGAAATACTCAAATATTATTCAAAGTGAAGCTCTCATGTAGGTAGGGCTGCACTTAAAAAGGATTGTTATTATCAACTAATCTGTAGATTATTGTCCAAATTGATAAATATAACTTTAAAATGTCAGGATATCCCGGTTTCTCTAACTACACTTTGGTGTTTTTAAATGTTAAGTTTTGTCTGTGCAAAACCAGAATATAATCAATTAAATATGATATAAAACCATTGTGTCTGCACATGTTAGGGTACACATGAAATGACTTTTTAAGATGGTTGCAGTCCTACCTGCCAAGGCGTAGATTCCCTTTGAACTGTTCTGCTGCTTGCCTGTGAAATCACCTCCCATTGTCTAGAAAAATGGGCCAAAGAGGTAAAAAGATAAATAAATAAAACTCTAGTAACTTGGAAAATACGTCAATAAGTCAATGCCATACAGCAATCAGAGGCTTACATGAGTCTTTCCCACTTCCAGTCTGGCCGTATGCGAAACATGTTTGCCATGCCACCGTCGAAAATGGACCGCACCAAAGGGTTTGGCTGTGAACCTTAAGAAAAAAAACAAGGGGCTTACTTTTTAAAAAATCAACGTAAAAAAAAAAAACGAATTTGGTGCGTTTTCAACATATTTACTCCTGATTTACACTGTAGTTCCAATAAACCCATACTGAACACTGCTGTGTACACTTTCCCTCTCTCACAATGTTTTTCACAGCTTGTGGGCAACGAGAAAAAACCCACACAAGAGAAGACAAAGTGAGATCCCTTATATGATATTCCTAAGAAAAAAGATTCTGAAAAACAGACGATTAAATGCAATCAGATCCATCTCCTTGCTAATTGAAAAGGGATGTGAGGGAATTACTTGTAGACCAGGTCGTTGGTGGCGGTCTCGTTAAAGGAGTAGTCGAAGTGGAAGACTTGGTTGTCCAAGTACTTGGTGAGGTCCACCTTCTGTTTTGGCTCATGGACCAGCAGTGCCCCTTTCCCAGGTATAGACACCACATCTATCTCTTTTCTGGTAACCTCTGGAATACACAAGAATGTTCAAATTAAGCAAATGTCCCAATATATATATATTTCACTGTTTTGTTAATTACTCCTTTATATGCAGATACAGTTCACAATATG